GCTCAGTTGGTTAAGTGTCTGACTCTTGGTTTTGGCTCAGGTCATGATCTCATAATTTGTTGGCTCAAACCCCACATTGGTCTCTGCGCTGTCAGTGCAGGGCCTACTTGGAATATTCTCTCTCTCTCTGTCAAAATAAACTTTAAAAAAAAAAAAAACAAAGGGCGTAAAACTGATTGGTTTATGTGGGTAAACGGATAGGACTTGCCATCTGTGGGTTTCATGGTAGAATGATATGACTTGCTGGAGATCTCTTGATGTTGGTATCGAGATCTTCCTTCTTAGCTATTCCAGTTCCCTGGAGCACTTCTTTCAATCTCTGGATACAAAAGTTTGAGAGCAGAGAGGAACTGGGTTGGAAGTCTCAGCACCCGGAATGCATACGTTTACTAGATCTCCCTGTCTTCAGCATGGCCTCATGCCTTCATCTGGGCCAAGTGTCCTCCCTGGAGAAGAAAGTGACTTCTGTCCTTGTGCTGGAGTGGGAAACATGCTGAAAATATGCAGAACGTGGGAGAGAAATCTTAGGATCTAACTGCTTCGATGAATCATGGTCCTTGGTTCGTTCTTATATTAGTTCAAATAGATATTTGTTGGATACTTGTTACTTTCTGAGCTACTGAGGTGAGGTAGGGGTAGGGCGTGGATAATACAGGTAGAAGGGACCACAGGAGCAAGGATCCCGAAGCCAAACACTGCAAGAGGTTTTGCTGGAACCTCATCTTCAAGGGTATTGTGAAGGTATGCACTTCTTCTAAAGGGTAGGAAAGAGGATTCACTGTTAGTTAATTTTCTTTATTTTTTATTGTTTTCTTCATTTTACCCCTGCTTCCTGAGGAGTTAGATGTCACCGATTCTTGAGAGTCCTGGGGGGCTTCTGTGGTACAAATTGGTTAGTCTCTACTTTTTCTCCTGCTGATTTAGCTATCAGCCACTCATCTATTTTCCTAGTTCCAGATTTAAACAAGAACATTTAAGCAGTTCTTTTCACTGTTAGTGAGGTAAGAGTGAGATTAGTTGCACATACTCAAGTTACTATCTATACTCAGAAGTCTTACTATGGGACATTTAATAAAATTCAGGATAGTAAGAAACTAGGAATCCTATAAGCTTATAGTTTCAAGTGATCGAGTTGATAAGTGCCTTCAGGTTTCTGGCAGACATAGTAGAGGAGGAACTCACTTTCCACACAGAGCCCAAAGTATTTCTACAGTTCAGTTCCAAGGAATATGCATTCAGAGTCAAAAGTTGCCAGGCACTTTAGGAAATAGACCACCAGGAGAGATGGATAGCAGGAGCAACAAAATAGTAGTAAATGCAAACCCCTCAGACTGTGGGATTATCAGACACACACTGTTACATAAATATGTTTAATAGTTAGAAAAAGAGGAGATGAAGAAAATGAGTACAGAGCCAAGAAATTCTAAAAATTAGAAAAAAACCCTTTGAAAAAAGATCAAATAGAACTAGAAATGAAACACTTAGTCATTGAAATAAACCTAAAGACTGGATTAACAAGACATTAAGTGCAACTGAAGAGGGAATTGGTCAATGGAATGGTAGATCTTAAAAAAATATCCAGAACACAGCACAGTTTAGACAAAGAGCCTCCAGAAGGAGAGGTAAGAGAAAATGGCAGAAAGACAATATTTGAAGAAGCACTCAATTTCCCAGAGTGAATGGCATGCCACATGGTTCACAAATTCCTGTGAAGCTCAGTAGGTGTTGAAAGAAAAAGAGGACGACGAGATAGGCAGATTCAGCGTCAAGGTTAGTACAGTAGAACACTCAAGAGATAGACTACTTAACAAAAAACAATGATTCTATAGACACCTGACTTCTCAGCAGCAGCAATGGAAGCCAGAAGACCATGAAATGTTATTTTTAATGTGCTGCGAGAGAATAGCTGTCCATCTAGAGTCTGTACCCAGGGAAATAATCTCTCAAGAATGAAGGTAAAATAGACTTTTCAGTCCCACAAACTGAGTAAGCTTGCTGCTAACAGACTGTCAATGAAAGAAATTGTAAAGGATGAATTTCAGATGAAGGTACTATCATAAGAGAGATTGTAATGGAAATTAGGAAAATTGTAAAACTGAATGAGAGTATATCAGAAACCTGTGGTCTTGGAAAAAAATTTGCAACACTAAATGCTTATGTTAGAAAAGAAGAAACACTGGAAGTTAATGAGCTAAGCAACTACTTTTAAGCTAGAAAAAGAACAATAGGATAAGCCCAAAGAAAGAAAATGCAAGGAGATGAACAGACATTAATGAAACAAAGGAAGCAGGCAATATAGAGGCTCAGGAAAGTTTTTTTTTTTTTTTAACAGTAATAAAATGGACAAATGTCAAGTGAGCTCAGTTAAGGGAAAGTAGAGTGCTGATAAAAGTGGTATTAGGAATAGAAAACAAGTTACCTGCACAGAGATTAAGAGGCACAGAGGAGGGTGTAGGAGCTCCTTTATGGCAATAAATATAAACATTTAGACAATAAATGTCTAGAAAAATAAAATTTATCAAAACTGACGTAAGAATTAGAAAGCCTGAATAATCCTGTAACAATTAAAGAAATGAAATCATTAAAAATCTTGTTTGAAACAAAACGCCTGGCCCAGATAGTTCTGCTGGCAAGTTTGACCTGACATTCAACATTAGTAACAACAGCAATCTTTGATCTTACACAGCCTGTTCCAGAGTCCACACGGGGAACATTTTCTGGCCAAGTCAGGCATAACAGGCAGCCATATAGGAAAGGAGACTCACTGATCACAGTCTTATTTATGAATATGGTTGGCAAAAATCTTAAGCACAATATTAGTCAACTAAACTAGCAGATCTAAAAGCCTGACCAAGTTGGGATTATCCTAGGTTGGCAAGGGTGCTTTCCTGTTTAAAAATGTATAATGTAATTTATCATATTAACTAATTATCAGAGGAAAAATCATACCATCTCAGTGGGTGGAGATGCAGGTTTGGTTAATATTCATCAACAAATTATCATTAAAAAATAATAGGTGGGAATTTTCATAATCCAATAAAGCGTTTATATAAGAAACCTATGGCAAATATCATACTAATGGTGAAATAGTGACAGCCTTATCTTTGAGATCGAAAGAAGGTAAGAATGCCCATATGACTATTACAAGTCAACTTTACAGTAGATGTTCTAGCCAGGTAAGATAAAAAACACAAGATAGGTAAAGGTACTGAAAAGAGGAAACAAAATTACTGTTCGTGTTTGTAGGTGATACGGTTTTATCCGAAAGTATATGCAGAAACACCCTCATACCATCTTTTATAAAGATAGGGCGTCTGTTTTTTTAATTAAAAAATTGCACAAATGAAATGAATCATACCCGAATTTGGATGTGTAGGTCCTGTATTTACTACACTAAGCAGGGACAGCAAGACACACAAGTCATCTGCTTGATTTCCTGTCTCTCAGGAATCACCGTCTTTTGTTGCTTGATTTCCTAGTGTCTTGAAAGCTGTCCTTTTCTGTGTTTTGTTCTACTGTTTAAAACTGTTGTTTCATACAAAAAAAACTTGTGTGTTTTTGGCTGGTTCAAATGGGAGGGTAAATCTGGTCTTTGTTATTCCCTCTTGGCTGGAAACAGAAGTTAGTTTAATTAAGCGGCTTATGGTTTCTTAGGCCTCTTTCATTAATAAAGGGTGATCTTAACATGCACTGGTTCTGGTGCAAGGCCTTTCCTTTAAAAGTACATGTAGATTTTAAAAATTTTGTTTTAAAAGAAGCTGGTAATATGAAGGCCCAATCCTAAGGACCTTTAGAGCAGAGGCCCTGAGTTGGATAATTCCTGAGGCATTTGTTATTGAAGACTGTTCAAAGTTTCACCACCACTGGAGTTTCGACTCGCTGATGTGTTTCATAAATTTTAATGAAAGACAGATTGAGAGAAGTCATTGATGGACCCACATGGTTGTACCATATCCGTGCACTGGCTCAGAATGCAAATCTCTATGAAATTACTCTTAAGTTACCTTTGTGGAAAGCCCCAAACTCCATCTTCTGGTTTGTCTGATCCAGCTAGGTCAGATCCAGAGTGATTTACAGAAACTTTTATGTTCTTGGCACATTGCTATGATTTATTTTTAAGTCACAGAAATTGTCCAAATATTAGAATACATATTATAGAATTGCCAATAAACTATGTACAGTTATATGGAGCACGGTGTGCTTTTTAAAGGAGTTTGTAAAGAATATGGTTTAACTTGCCAGTGTGTGATAAACTTATTTCTTGTGTGTGATTATGGACTTGATTTATAATTCACTAGCAGATGTTAATTTTCGTTCAGTTATAATTCAGACATTCTTGACTTAAATTTTCTCTAGATCTCACAAAATTAAAAAAATTAAACTGAAACTTTTGTTCAAAACATCCTTCAAATGGGGCCAGATTATTTTAGAAACAGGTTTTCTTATTTCTGCTAATAAGTATCAGGGAGAGAAAAGGCAGTTGAGATCTTTGAAGGATCTGTAAACATCATTTTAGTCTGTCTCTTTAAGCGTCGCCTGCTGCTGTCGGACCCACTTGCTTACAGGAACTCTGGCTCCCTTCATTTCTGTAACCTCCTTGCTGAGCTAATGAGCAGTGTAATGGCCAGGAGAGAGGGAGAGATATTAGAGAAACCAAAGGGCCTAGATGATTTGAAACTAAATAATTAACATCAGAATAATGAGGGATTGACTGCCTTTCCCATGCTGGGTTCCAGTCCTTTGATCAAAGGGTATCTTTTCCTTACTGTTTTATACTGTCTTAATCACAACAGCCTATATAAATAATTGGATTTGGGGAAGGTAGGATCAAAATGAAAAAGGGATTAGAAATAGCACGTGCTTTTTTTTTTTTATTAAGCCTTCAGATGGATTTTAATAACTTAAACATGTTAACTGCAATTGTTATTCCTAGTTACGAAGTGGAGGGGTATTTTGTTCTGTTTTGGGGAATTCTTAACAGTATGTGTTTTTCTTTTCAGCTACTAAGTCAGGATTGTTACCTCCACCGCCTGCGCTCCCTCCAAGACCTTGTCCATCACAGGTAGGAGACAGAAATTGATTTCTGTGAACCGTTTGGTGCTACAGAAGTTGTCCTCTCACTGTACCTCCTTTGCAAGGGTTGATAGCCACAGTACTGGCTGCTCACATTTCCAAGATGACATCTGGACAAGGAGAGCAGAGAATGGTTGAATTTCTTTTTATCCAGCCAGTCCCGCAACCTCACATAGAAAAGGGAAAGTTTCCTCAATAAAGCAACCAAAAAAATATGTACTAGTTCACCTTTGGCTGTAGAGGATTGCGTCTTGTTTTCGCATAGAGAAAGGAGAAGAATGGGTCTCTCTAGTTGGGGGTGGGGGACATGGCTTTTTTGTATAGTATGTACAGCCTGGGTGTGTATATTTTCATCAGTGTTTTAGGAGCTGTGTTAATTTTGCATCAACTAAAAATAAATGGCCATCACCATGGTGTTAGAACTGTGGTTTGGGCCTTCAGTGCTTTCTTTAGGTTGGTATTTTCCTTTGGAATAATAAGCAGAAACAGCAGGAGTTGGGAGAGTGTGTCACCAAAATCTGTTTCACCTGTGAATGAATTCTACCTTACTTCTGTGTGCTCCTTTGGCCTTACTCATCAACACTCCTTGTAGAGTGGGAAATGAGAAGTAAGCAGCAAATCTGTGGAATGTGCTACGGGGCACTACAGGTCCTTTCTTTCATTAATTGCTGCTGAAGAAACTTCCTATCTTAAAGGCCCTCTCTAACTTTTGGCAGAAGGTGTTGGTCCAGAGCATACTTTCCATATGCCACGTCTTAGGATCCGCTGAGTCTCTGAAGCCACTTGAAACATTTGCTTATCCTTCTTTTAGAGAAAGAGATCATCTTTAGCATTCACTCAACCTTGAGGTGCAAACACAGTGAGGTACTGCTTTTCTGCCTCATTTTGAAGGGGAATTAAAAGCCCTGTTCTTCCTGACTCACATGTAAATGAATGAGAACCCCCTTTCCAATACTCTAGGATTGGCTCTAAAACCTGTTGATTAATCAGTTAACAAGTATTCATTGAATCCCTGTTGTATGTCCAACGGCAAGCTTCAGTTCCATTCTGAGCTTTTCCCTGGTTATAATTTCTGCTCATTTAAATTATTCTGTTTAATGAGCACCTGTTGTGGTAAGTGCTTTCAGTGCATTATTTAATCTTCACAAAAATCCTATGAAGTAGGTGCTAATATTGCTTTATTTTTATACAGATGAGGAAATTGAAACACACAGGGGTTAAGCAAGTCAGCCAAGGTGACATAGCTAGTAAATAGGTAGAGTCAGCTCCCCAACCAAGGTCCATCTCCTAAAGGTCCTCCCCGTCACTGCAGCCGCTGTGTATGTATACAGTGAGACGGTGATCTCTTGCATTGCCAGGTAAGGCTTTCACCACGTCCTTCTGTGGAGGACCAAGATGAGATCCAGCTCCCGATCGGCACTGATAGCAAACCGGGACTTTGTCACAACAGAAGAGTGGGCATTCAGGGGGCGGTTACCCAGCAGCTGCTGGTTTCAAACCGGGGTTTGGGACCCACCTGGAGGAATGCGTGGAAGACCTGTCTGAAAGGGCTTTTGTGACCAACGTCCTTATCTTCTACCGCACACGTAACAGCAGTCACTTCCCAGTTGTGACATGTGTTGCTGCTATCAGCAGGCCTCATCTGACCTGCTTCAGTGGGCTTCCTGCCTGCCTGGGAGCTTAGTGCCGAGGATCTGATGCGGGGCTGGGAATTCTCAAGTCACTGTTAATGAATGAGACTGCTTCTTTGTCTACCAGATTTCCCATCTCAGGGTAAACAGTAAGCGCAGTGCTCAGCCCAGGCCTCCAACTCAGCTGCCTAACTATGGAGATTTCAGACTGCAGAAACAGGTGTGTAAGAAATGCAGGCAGAAAATCCCTTCGCCACTGACCTCCCCCTGCTCTCCCCTTTTCCTCTATAGGTGGGACACACACATTCAGCAGAGGAAGTCCTGGGTACTGAACACATGATTGTATTTAGTCTTCGTGCAGTGTCAAATTCCTAACGGCCCTGGGAGAGACTCCCCTAACCACTTGGATGGGGCACCTGTATATTCTAGTCTTTCCCAAACTGTTTGTGATAAAGTGTCTTCTGGGAGACATTCATAGGGCTCGGTGGTAAGACAGATTTGCAGGCTGCTGCCTCGGTCCCCATTTAGGGAGATTCACAGTGTGTAAAGGCTCATTGAAGGGTTTGGAGTCCTACAGTAAAAAAAAAAAAAAAAAAAAAAAAAACCTGGTCAATTTTGGTAAAGCTTGCAATTTCCCAGTGATGATGACCATTCATCTCTTCATTTACAAACACTTACCAGTATCCTGAGGGCTTGGCGGTTAGGAAACATTATTATACACCAGCCTTAAAGTATTGGTAAGAACATTTCCAAACCTTTCATCTGTCACTTCCTCTCCATATTATGTAATTAAAGTTAAATTTTTAGGGGCACCTGGGTGGCTCAGTCGGTTAAGTGTCCGACTTTGCCTCAGGTCGTGATCTCACGGTTTGTGGGTTCGAGCCCCACGTCGGGCTCTGTGCTGACAGCTCAGAGCCTGGAGCCTGCCTCAGATTCTGTGTCTCCCTTTTTCTCTGACCCTCCCCTGCTCACGCTGTCTCTCTCTCAGAAATAAATAAAAAAACATTTAAAAAAAGAAAAAAAATTAAATTTTTATACTTAGGCTAGTAGTTTTCCCTAGAGGAGTTGAAAATGTGAAAGAAAGTTTACTGCACGTTAGCTTCGGGTTTCAGATTGTCATGTTTTCAGTTGTGTTTTCTTATTTGCATTTCTGTTCCTTCTTGGTTACTGTCTCATGAGGTCATATTTACCACTTCACAGCAAGCTTTATTACAGCAAATCTTAAGCACCCCAAATTCGTCTTTTGTGCTGTTAAACACATTTTTTTGAGTGTTCCTTGTTATATATGGACAATTGGCTTGACTTTGGGAAAACATTTATACAATACTTAACTACAGAGACTTTTTATGAGGCATAAACTGTAGTACGTAGGGGGAGAAACAAGGAAGCTTGGTTATATATATATATATATTTTAAATATTTTTATTTTATTTCTAGGATAGAGAGAGACAGCGTGAACAGGGGAGGGTCAGAGAGAGGGAGACACAGACTCTGAAACAGGCTCCAGGCTCTGAGCAGGCAGTCAGCACAGAACCCGAAGCGGGGCTCGAACCCACGAACCGCGAGATCATGACCTAAGCAAAAGTCGGACGCTTAACCGACTAAGCCACCCAGGCGCCCCGGAAGCTTGGTTATATTTTAAATCTTTTATTTATAGCTTAAAAAGATTTTTTTTTAATATTTATTTTTGAGAGACAGAGTGTGAGCAGTGGAAGGGAAGAGAGAGAAGTAGACACAGAATCCACAGCAGGCTCGAGGCTCTGAGCTGTCAGCATGGAGCCTGATGCGGGGCTCGAACTCCCAAACTGAGAGATCAAGACCTGAGCTGAAGTTGTGTGCTTAACCGACTGAGCCACCCAGGCGCCCCTATTTATTGGTAGCATTGAGAAGATATTAAAAAGGATTTGGATTTAAAATTTTCATATTATTTAACTTGATAAATGGGCCAGACTAGATTATCATCAACAAGAAAACATTCTGTTCCCTAAAAAGGAACACTGTTTAAAAACTATGTGTCCAGTGATGCCCTTTGAGGTTTTAAGTATGTAAGAGAAGAACGCTTGTACGTTTGCAGCTGTGCGCACAAAGGTATATATAGATCATTTTTACATATGCCAAAAGCGTTCCTTTTATCAAATGAGAGGGAGAAGGTATAGGTTTTTAGCATAAAATGCAGTTTCACTGGCCCCTACTTCTACTAAGTACCAGTATGATATGAACATCTGGATTAAGTTATACAAATGGGGCCCTGGAGTTAGGAAAAGGAATAAAATCAAAGAAACAGATCTTTTTATTTTTCATACTATAGGTAAGCTCAAGAGAGACCATATGACTAAGAATCAAATGGGTTGTTCCGTGTTTTCTTGGGGTCAGGCTAGAGACAGGGCATGGTATCTTGGCTCAGCTCGGAAGAGGTGACACGTTTATTTTTTTTAAAGACTGATTCATCACATAAATGACTAAACAGCAATTAGAGTTAACTGTTTCATGTGGAGCAGCGTTAAAATGAGAGTTAAATTTGTATCTCACGCTTGGTCTGCATAGAAAGTGAGTAAAATGCCATCTGCGGAGTGGCTTGTCCTGTAGGTCAGTTCTCTGCTAAGGGCCTGCTTGGTGCTCCAATAATTAAATACCTTTCATAGTATTGATTCCATGCCACATTTCTTCTTCTTTTTTTTTTTTTTTTTTTAACAAATAGTTTATTGTCAAATTATTTTCCACATAACACCCAGTGCTCATCCCCAAAGTGCCCTCCTCCATGCCCATCCCCCCCTCCCCCCCACATCCATCAGTCCTCAGTTTTTGTCAGCATTCAAGAGTCTCTCATGGTTTGCCTCTCTCCCTCTCCCCCACCATTTCCCCCCTTCTTCTCCCCCTTGGTCCTCCGTCAAGTTCCTCCTAATCCTCCTATACGTGCAAACATATGATATTTGTCCTTCTCTGCCTGACTTACTTCTCTCAGCATAACACCCTCAAGGTCCATCCACGTTGCTACACATGGCCAGATTTCATTCTTATTGCCATGTAGTATTCCATGGTATAGATAAACCACATCTTCTTGAGCCATTCAGCTGTTGATGGACACTTAGGCTCTTTCCATGTTTTAGCTATTGTGGAGAGTGCTGCTATGAACATTGGGGTCCATGTGCCCCTATGCCTCAGCATTTCTGTATCCCTTGGGTAAATTCCTAACAGTGCTATTGCTGGGTCCTAGGGGAGTTCTATTGGTAGTTTCCTGAGGAACCTCCACACTGTTTTCCAGAGGGGCTGTACCAGTTTACATTCCCACCCACAGTGTAGGAGGGTGCCCGTTTCTCCACATCCTCGCCAGCATCTAGAGTTCTCTGATTTGCTCATTTTAGCCACTCTGACTGGCATGAGGTGGTATCTCAGTGTGGTTTTGATTTGTATTTCCCTGATGAGGAGGGATGCTGAGCATCGTTTCATGTGTCTTTTTCCATGCCACATTTCTTATGGCAATAATCTTTCTAAAGAAAAGAGGTTTTTGTTTTTTGTTTTTTTTTTTTTTGGTACACGGTAATCTTTTCAGTTTTATATTAGCACCACATTTGATGAATTGGGACTCCCTATAGACTAATGACCTCAGAATTTTCCTATTTATACCATGAATGTCTCATAACGGCAGGTGCTTCTCATTGGCAATGTAACAGGTACGAAAATAGCACTGTGGGATGAACGCACTGGGGAGGGAGCCTTTGATGGATACTTTTAAGCTTAGAGAGACTGAGAGGGCTTCATGGAAGGGCTGAGATGACCAGTGAAATGAGTTTTAAACAAGAACTTTTCTGGCAGCTGAAGGGTTCATAGCATTACTGTAGAGAAAAAGCAAATGCAAGGAAACACGTGTGCAAGAGAGCCCCATGTGTTCGAGGAACTGTCTCAAATGCAGAAGCTAGATTTTAGGGGAGAGAGATTCAGTGTTTAGAGGTGGAAATGAGGAGCCAGCGGCCTGCCTGCTTGAGTCCCTGTGGTACCAGAGCTGGGAGAGAGGAAGGGGCCCCTGACAAGAGAGTTCTGTTGGGGACGCAGTCCCTGAGGGGAGAGCATAGGGCATCATTTAGCCCAGTGGTACTCACCCTTATGCACAGTGAGATCATCTGGGAGACCTTTAAACCTACTGATGTCTGGGTCCCACCCCCAGGTATTTTGTTGTTCGGCGAGGCCCAGGCATTGGGAGTTTTAAGAAGCTCCCACATGATTCTAAAGTGCAGCTAGGATTGAGAAACACTGAATTAAGGCAAGAGAAGGAATGTTCAAAGAAGTTGAGAATCTAGGGAATTTGTTGATGGTATGCTCTGAGTCTTTTTTTAAAAATTTATTTTGAGAGAGAGAGAGAGAGAGAGAGAGAGAAGATCAGGAGAGAAGAGAGAGAGAGAGAATGAGCAGGAGAGGTGCAGACAGAGAGGGAGAGAGAGAATCCCAAGCAGGCTCTGCACTGTCAGCGTGGAGCCCGATGCAGGGCTCGAACTTACGAACCATGAGATCATGACCTGAGCCGAAACCAAGAGTTGGATGCTTAACCAACTGAGCCACTCAGGTGCGCCGCCCCCCACCCCCCCACCCCTGGCCTTGGCTTTTTTCTTTATCAAATTAAAACTCAGTGGGCATACATCAAATATCATGAGATCTTTTGCTATAATACATGCAGATGATCTCATATAATGTACATTAGTCTTCAAGTCACCTTAATATATTGGCTGTTTAGATAAAGCATATTTGTGAACTTTCAAAGATTACAGCATCACCATTTTTGCTTGTCAATATATAAGTTTAGTATATGTCAAGAGACATTTTTCTACTTATTCATAAATTAGAAACTTAGTAATTATGCTGAAGAGAACTTATAAACATATCACCTAAAATGCTACCTTCACTTTCTTCCAGAGTGTTACTCTGTTCTGTCGTACAGTGCACGCTGAAGATGAGCTAAAAATCACAGAATGTTAATGAGTATTTGTTTTAATTAAGAAAAGAAGATCTAGGCCCAGAAATTTTCTTCATCAGTGATGATGGAAGGACATAGAGCTGTAGAATACTGTATGAGTGTGTCTGTGGTCTGATTCTTCTCCTGACTGCCCTGTAGCTCTGTAGCCTTGTGGGAAGTAAGCACATTTGTCTCACAGACCTACTATTGCTTCTTCTGTAAAATGTTAAGATTAGATAGATCCTTCTCATGCTTAAGGTCTCAGATTCTGTGTT